CCAAGGTCTAGGGCAATACTGGAAATCTGGTCCAGTTCAAAGATTCAATTAATCCTACACTGTATGTGCCTAGGGTCTCACCCTGGCAGCTAAGACAGGCCACCCCAACCGATTTGGTGGCACAACAGTGTCAGCCTTATCGGGATAAGTCTCCACAGACCCACCCAGTGGCTGTGAACATTCTAAACTAACGTGAGTCTCATTAAGTGTCCAGTTTAAGGGTATTACACAGAAACATACCAAGGAAACATGAATCAAATAATGTATTTTTATTCATTAAAATAAATTCATACTGTACATTATTCTGATTGAAGTTAAGGACATACAAAACTGTCTAACATCCACATTGTTGAACACCCTAAATTAATGCAATTAACTAGATCAGAAAAGTAGGAGAGTGTCCTTTCCTTTGGGCCTCCATAATCCAATATATCTTTGAAGAGGTCACGGACCTTCTCAGGAAACCCACGACAGACGTAATCAACCAGTACCAAGTTCTGCAAGACAATGTCACTGATTTTCATTTCTTCAATTGTTTCAGCAGTTGTCATGGCCTTCTCCATTCAAGTTATTGATCATTCGGTTGCAGAAAACCACACTTGTGTGATTATTTCCATCCAACTCCAAAAAGATGAAGGAAGAAACTGGGCTTGTTCTGTTGACGTGGTTTGGATCTGTGTAGCCAATACCCCATCTAGTGTTATAGTGACCCTTTGCGATCTTGGCAGCCTTCTCAATGCAATGATCATGGCCAAGGTCACCTGAGGGCATGGTTGATGCTGCCATAGAAGAGACGACAATGTCTCTCATGCCCCTCATATCAATTCCCTTGTGTTTCCGACACTAAATCTTGAGACCTAACATACATCCACACCAGAATAGCTTGAAGAGGGCACCGAGATCATTGAACTTACCCATAACAATGAGCTTTTGCTCGTTGTTGCAATAGGGAAATAGTGGCACCATCTCCATTGGCGGCTTGTCATTACGCTTCACTCTGCATTTAATTGGATTAAGCTGAACCTTGTTGAAAGCAATAACTCGGACTGAGTGACAGAGTGAGTTCGGATGAGGATGTCTTCCCCAGAGAAAGCAAGACAAGAGAGGGACGAAGAGTGAGCGGTTTGAGTTGGGTCCAGGATCGGTGTTGGTTCCTGGTGGAAAGAGGAAGAAGGAATGGGACGATGGGCTAGAGTTTATGCCACCGATGAATGCCAAGTGGGGTTTTGGGTTATGGCCAGAGGAAACTTGGTGTTTGACACTAGAATTAGAGGAGGATAGGAAACTCCAGGGCGGCCCGGGAACACCAAGCACCATTACTGGTGATGTAAAAGGACTGCAAATAGGTGGTGACAAGGAAGATGAGCGAGATGGAGAGAATAGAACTTGTGAAGGTGCTATGAGGTCTGGATGGATGTACGCCCCTTTGCTTTCAGGATCGACCGGAGGTTGAGTTGAAGGGGCAGACATCAACACGGCGATGGGTGGACTGTAGTTGGAAGGCTGGTGGGTCTTGAACTGAAAGGCAAGAGTATTCACACTGCTATTCTGTCCCATCGCTACCGCTCTGCTATTGGAAGCTACTGGGTTTTGCTCTCCTTTAGAGGCCTCTGTTTCCTTCGTTGATTCCCAATAAAACACCAATCGGAGGTGAGAGTTGGTTGAGCCTGTGTTCAATCTCTGCCAGGCGAACGAGAATTCTCTCTTGGTTTTTCTCGATGCGGCTGAGACGAGCTTCAAGGCTTGCCATCCGTGCATCCATGGATCAGTTGGCTCTGATACCAAATGATACAAACCCTTCCCGTTGCCGGAACAAGTTTGTATCTGCCCTCGAGCTGTAGTGCTGAAGCACCGCTCAAAGAGGGTTTTAGCAATTACAAAGATCACCGAAGAAGAAGAAGATGAGTTTAATCGTGCAATGCCTTTATTTCAGTATTGATTGATTATATATGGGAAGCCGTTACAACTGTCAATCTGTCAATCAAGCCTAATGATTACAATCATGGGTCATGATAATGTGCAACGATGATTACCGTAATGACAGTTATAACAGTTTGCAGCCTTTGATATTCATTCTTTATGGCGATTAGGATGATGGCCACGTCAGCAGGGGTTCCTGTAAAGGCTCGTATCAGTGACATGCCAAATAACGTATAAGCGGCAACGAAAAAAAAAAAAAAAGTTTATTCCCATACTATATCTTTTCTACATCATAGATTTTTCCCAAAAAAAAAAATACTATCCTTCATGAATTACTGCAAGGTGTTTAAGTAGTGAAACTGTGGGTGTGGGTGCACTTACAGTTTCACAACGATCGATCGATGGCAGTTGAAGACTGAAGTGATTTTGTGGCCGACTATAGCTGAAGAGTGAAGAGTGAGAATGGTTCCAGCGACAATAGAGTATGGGAAAGAAAAAACAGACTCAGGGTTTAGGATCCATTCTTTGACCGTAAAAGCCTAATGGGAATCAATAAATTAGGGGTTGGGGAAAGGATTCCCTTTTTGCCCTTGAAATTATTATATATTACAATATATTAAAGACTTATTTGAAGTGCATTTGGATATTTTAGACTTTTAGATTATATATAATATAATGTATAATAATATATTTAATAAATTATATAACATAATCGGAGTTGGATTTTTATCGGATCGACACTAGACTCCGTTCCAATTTTTAATGGAGCCCATCCAAATCTGAGATAAACGGATCGGGTATCAGATCGGGTTGCAGAGATTTTCAAGTATCATTGACAGTCCTAATCTTAGTGTATAAAATAATTAAATTCATACTATTGTTAAACGTGTAAATGAGAGTGTGAAAATTTTGTTTAACTATTTGTACATTTTTTAAATTGAATCTTAGTTGATAAAATAATTAAATCCATACTATTGTTAAAAGTGCAAATGAGAGTGCGGAATTTTTGTTTGACTATTTGTACATTTTTCAAATTTTTGTTTGGCTATTTGTACTTTTCTCAAACTAAGTTTTAGTGGATAAAATAATTAAATCCATACTAGTGTCAAAAGTGTGGATGAGAATGTGGTAATTTTGTTTGACTAAACTAATGCATTTTTTTTTTAATTTGGTTATTCTCTAATTGTAAAGATAACAAAAAATAATTTGAACAATCACTTTTCTCTTCATTCAAAATCATATCATTAAGTCTTATATTTAAGGTATTAACTTCCTTTAACATTCATTGAACCATATTCTTGATTAGAATATCCCTATTTTTGAATTAGTTCCCTATTTAATTGCAACTTTACTAGAATACTATTTGGGTTGAATGGTTCGATCCATGATGTCATAAATATGATAATAAAAAGTGATACAATTCTCATAAGTGATACTATTTGGGTTGAATATATTTGCTGATTTAGTATCAAAAGTGATACAATTCTCATAAGTGAATTCAGTTGTGCTTTGATTAAAAACAAGGAAACCTGGGCATGTTGATGTACATAAAAATTTATGATAAATGAATAAAGTGCATTATTGTTTTATGTTCTTATTGGTGTGTTTTTGTGAATTACTCACTATATTAGACACTTTTAAGACTCATGTATGTTTAGAATGTTCTTAGACATTGGATAAACTTGGCGAGTTTATCATAGCAAAGCCGACACTCATGTGTTGCCAAACTGGTGGAGCAACTTGTCTTAGCTATTAGGGTTAGACCCTAAGCACAGTTAGTAGGTGTTTAGAAGAAACATTGAACTTGGACTAATTTCCAGTTATACCCTAGACCTTAGAGATAGATGGGCACAGCTAAAAAGTTGCACATAACCCCAAACTTGATTATGATACTACATTAGGTTTTAGATTGAACTATCTTTGATATGTCAATCAGTGAGATCCATCAAGAGTTAACTACATGGGCATGTTTGGGGTAGTTTGGGAAATTACATGAGTAGGTGATCATAGTGATATGATCGGCCCTTTTGTAGAACAAAGTGAATATCAGGGTTTACACTCTCTTTGATGGAAACCTAAACTACTGAAAGTAGATTTCAATTGTATTTGAAATCTTATTTGCAAAATAAATTTATATGTTTTCAAAAGATTTTAATCCCAGGATCCATTCGAGCAAGGAGCGTGACATTGGATTTTGTAATCAAGGAAGATGTCCTTCCTTGTGGGTAGTGTTTGGATGACTATGGGCTAAGAGGTTAGGTGCAAGAGACCATTATGATTACCTGTTGGGTTTTATCTTACACAAGCTCATTATCCTTGGGTCTTCATAGAGTAGTTGAATCCAAAGATCATTTATGTGAAATATTGGGCCCAAATTAAGACCAAGTTGATTGGGTCAGGGGAGTTCATTGCGCGTGAGTATTGAATCTGGCCTAATCTTTTTCAAAGGTAGGGCTGAACCCTTATGGACTTGTGTGAAACCTTTATAAGTCCCATGCGATACAATATTCAAGCCCAAAGTGAACATGCAACACCTTGGGACATGAACTATTAAAGAAGATGGGCTTAGGGCCCATTACTAATATGATTAGTTAAGAGATTACATGACTTAAGTTGTCATGGATCTGGATGGAAAATGAGAATGGATTTAGGTATGGAGCACCCATTCTCTTAAGAAGACAATGCTTATCAATTAAAGATAAAGTGCTGATCCAAATTTGATTTGAATTGGCTCCTAATACTAATTAAATTAGGAGAGTTATCTATATAAGGGACTAAGAAGGGAGGGACAAATACACCAGTTTTCTCCAATCTCTTGCTCTTTTTTCTTCTCCATTGCCTCCCAAAAACCCTAATTCGACCTAATTGTGATAGGGACTGATTTTCATCAGTTATCTATTGTATTTTTACAAGAAAAACATAAAAAATCGGGTTCACATACCTACATCAAGAAATTGGACAAAATTACCAACGAAAAGGCATTAGAATGTCTTGATGAAAGAGCTTCTAAAACTAGAAAGAAGAAATATCAAGGATGGAAAGAGAACTTTCTTTATTATTAAAAGTGCGAATGAGAGTGTAGAATTTTTGTTTGACTAAATACCTCATTTTTATTTGGTCATTCTCTAATTGTAAACACAAAAAAAAATAATTTGAATGACAACCTTTCTCTTCATTCAAATCCCTCTCAATAAGTCTTACATTTAAGGTATTAACTCTCCATTAACATTCATTAAATCTATTTTTGACTAGAATACCCCTATTTTTGAATTTGGTCCCTATTTAATTGTGATTTGACTAGAATATTATATGGGTTGAATGGTTTGATTTGTGATGCCATAAATATGACAATAAAACATGAAAGTAATAAAATCGTCACTAAAAAAAAAATACTTAGTAAAACATAATGATTTGAAGTTTTTTTTTTCCATTTCCATGTTTACAATGAATTATTTAAATTTAAAGTACCATTTTCTTGAAGCTTGTTTCAAACCATACACACTCTTAACTTGCAAACCATGTGTTCTTTCATGTTGATTGCAAAGCTTTCTATTTGTTCCATTTTCCAAATCACCATAGAGATAAGCTATCTCGACATATAACTGCTTAACCTTAAATCGATGCTTTTAGTCGAATCAAATACAACATGTATTGATGACATTTTTACTATGAGAGAATATTTCATCAAAATCAAGACCCTTTTACTATTCAAATCCCTTCATATATAACCAATATTTCCTTGTATTTTGGTTGTGAGTTCTTTTCTTTATGCTTTAACCTGCACACCCATTTGTTCTTGAGTACCTTCTTAACCTTAGGTAGTTCCACCAAATCATACACATGATTCTTGTGTAAGGAATCCATCTCCTCTTGTATAGCCTTGAGCCATTTTTTATTGTGCTCATTTTCTTAAACTTCTTAGTAGCTTTCATGTTCACCTGCTTCTAAAAGCATTATGTATGCATTTGGTGGGAATCTTCTTGATAGTTGGCATTCCCTAGATGATCTTCTTAATTCAATTGGTGGCTCTTAAGTGAAGTGATCTTATTAATCATCATCAACATCTTCATTAGAAACACTTTCATCATTTTTTGATTTTGTATTTTCGTATTGTACATCACCCTCATCATTTTTTATGCATAAAGGGAGGATAAATTGGATTTAAATCTACAAGTTTGTTGTCATCTACTTGAGGCTTATCAATTTTCTTAAAGTCTTCAATTGTTTAATCATCAAGAAAAATCACATTTCTACTTCTGATTATCTTCTTGCCCACCATATCCCATAACTAGTAATCTAAATTTTCATCTACATAGTCAAAATAAGAAAAAAATACATTGATTGGTTTTGTCATCAATCTTGGACCACTCATCCTTAGGTGTAGGTACAAAGGCTCTATAACTGTACACCTTAAGATGATTATAAGAAATGCCTCTTCCTATTTATATCCTTTTAGCAACATCACCATTCAATGGAACTATAGGAGACAAGTTAATCAAGTATACAGTTGTACGCATAGCTTTTCTCCAATAACATCTTGATAACTTTGCCTGTGACGACATACATTTGATTATCTCTAAAATGGTGCAATTTATTCTCTCAGCTACACCATTTTGTTGTAGGGTTTTAGAGACTAGCTACAATAATTTGTACTTATTCTTAATGCAGTGGTTCTTACAATAATTTTGAAATGAACCTTCATACTCACCATCATTGTGAGTACAGGTGCACTTGAGAAGTCAGTCTATTTGTCTCTCTTTTAACCATAGCATGAAAACCTTTAAAGACATTAAGCACTTAATCTTTAGATTTCAAAACATAAACCCATACTTTTTTATTAGCATCATCTATGAGAGTAACAAAGTAATATGCATCACCAAGAGTCCTAAGTTTCATAGCCCACAAACATTAGAATAATTTAATTCTAAAACATGCTTTCTAGTTGAAATCAAGTTCAAGTAAAGATCTCAAATATATTTGACATCCTTGAGAACTAGTTTGCAACTTACATTAGTTTTAAGACAAATATAACCCATTCTTATAATTTTGGAAGTTCCATCATTTTCTGTTCTCACAACACTAAAATCACTTGTACTATAAGAGGTAAAATATTCCTTGTAAGAGGTAGCCTAAGGGGAAGCACCTATATCAACAATCTAATCTGTGTCATGACATGCTAAATTGATGCAAGAGTAACTCCAATGGTGTCTTTTTTCATTATTTTAACTTTCTTGTTATCTCTCCTAAGTTTTTGACACTTACTCTTATAATGGCCTTGTTTCTTCTAGTGAAAGCTTGTGATATATTTCCTTGGCTTAGATTTGCCTCTAAACTTGTCACGACTATATGGACCTTTACTTTGGCTTTTATCTTTACTTTTTATAAGAAAAACATCTAGTTTTGATTTTGGTGATTTTCTTCTTATTTCCTCATTAGGCAAACTACTTACTATACTTGTTGTCACTACTCCATCAGGTACAAAGTTACAAAGAAATGCTACAAGCATCTCTAACTTTTTGACAATGAAAAGCAATAATAGAGCTTGAAGCTCGTCAACTAACACCATATAGGGGTGCAAATGGATCGGATCATGATCTGATCCAATCCGAAGTCTAATCCCATTTTGTTGGATTCGGATATCCCTGTTTTGGATCTTTGGATTGGATCATATAATAGGACCCGATTAGAAAATGGATTGAATTCAGATCACCCTTATCCAATCCAAGAAGATCCGATTCGATGTATATATGTTATTTATTTATTTATATAAATATATAACACATACATATATATTATTTATATTGCATTTTTATAATTTTTTTATATTATTTATTTTTTATAAAAAACATGTATATATATACAATGAAAATATACTTGTATTTTTTGTATTTTTAAATTTTTATTTTATTTTTATTTTAATAATTTATTAATTTTTTAAAAATTAAATTGGATCGGATCATATTAAATATCCAACTTCCTTATTTGATTCAAATTCAAATCCCTATTTATGAGATCTGATTGGATCAGATCTGCTCTTTAGAGCATTGAATCAGATTCAGATATACCATGATTCGAATCCGATCTGATCCATTTGCATCATTAACACCATGTTCATTGCGACCAATTGATTTACAATGTTTTTCATTTGATTTAAGTGTTTAGTGATGGAGGTACCTTCCTCAAACTTCAAATTTACAAAATTCCTAATCAAGAAAGCCTTATTATTGACCTTCTTCTTCTCATACAACTCTTCCAACTTGTTCTAAAGTGAAATAGTTGAGGTACCATTTACTATAAAGTGATAAATCGTATCATCCAACCATTGTCCAATAAAAGCAATCACTTTCAAGTCAAGGAGTTCTCAATCCTCATTGGATATATCTTTTTGGCTTGCCATTATCACCTCTCATAGGTGCATACAAGTCTCTGAAAAACAATAAGTCCTTCATTTTGGGTTTTCAAAGAGACCAATTCCTTTCATTTAATAAAATCATTCTAACCAAGCCTCCTTCCATGATTTTCATAAAAACCAAGAGCTCTAATACTAGTTTGTTGGGAATATATATCTCTTTGTTTTCTTTGTGCAATCCAAAAAGATTTAACAACAAATAGAAAGTACACAACAATAGAGGCAAATAATCAAACACAAAGTAAGGAAGAGTAGGTTACCAAGATTTATGTGACAAAACCTTGAATGTGAGGGTAAAAACCATGAGACCAAAATCCAAAACATCCACTATCAACAATAATAATAGGGTACGATGTTTTTCTATCTAGTTACAATTAGATGATGAACATTAAGAAAAGTCTTGGATTTCAACAAGTATCACCAACAAATATCGTCCATTTTTTAGGAGAGAGAGAGAGAGAGAGAGAGAACTAACACTAAGGGCCTGTTTGTTTCCTCTTAACTATTATCTCTTAAGAGGAATCTTTTAAGAGAAAAATGGTTGTTCGTTTCCTCTTATCTCTTATCTCTTAAAGTGCAATCATATAACTTTTTGTCTTCCAATGATACCCTCAAAAAGACAAACAAAAACTCTCATATATGGGTCAAAATGGATATTTGATAATTTTCAGAATTCAGAATTCATAACAACATCCTTTGCATTCAGAGTTTAGAGGAAAGAAAAATTTACCAATACCAATATACCTATTAATGTAATTATTGCACTTTTAGATATCATACTTAAGAGCAAACAAACAGGCCCTAAAATACAGAAATGATGTAATAAAACAGTAGTACATGAAGTACATGACTTTACTAAAGCTTGGCAAGTTGTTGAACATTAATGGGATAAACTTCTGATGTGAGGTTGGAAGCAAAAGCCTTTTTAGCTATCAAAGTATTTACAGATTCACTAGGATGCAACCCATCAAAAAACACATAACTCTTTCTATCTCCACAAGTGCGCCCATTTCTCTTGCATGATATCCCATTTCCACCTTCAGGAATTGAAAGCACTTCACAGCAAGCATTGCTTGTATCATTGAAACCTAAAAACCACAGCATTGCTTCTTATTCATATATACTTGTTCATTCAATCAATGAAATAGATGATGGCGGCAATGATGCTAATGTTGAGATAGAGAAGATAAGCCAAACAGTTTACCTGTAGAGGTGGGATCATTGATAATGTCACTGATAATTTGATAAGAATCAACAAAAATCACATTAGAACCAGGCATTTTTGGCTTAATATCATCAACCAATGACTTCAATTGGGTGTTGAAGAGATGAGCAGCTTGGTTCAATGCTTCTACACAACCATGCTGGATGTTCAAATTTTTCTTTACCACGGGAATACATCCAATAGGATATATTGACATCAGAATGAATTTTCGACCTCCCAAAGAGTACAGTTTCTGCATCACCAAATTGTTCAAAGAAAGAATGATAATCTCTAACAAGAAAAAAAAAAAACGGAAAAGTTTCACTTAAATGAAAAAACCTAGAGGCAACAAACACAATCTTAGGGGCTGTTTGATAACTACTGAATTGACTGACATGTCATTGAGAAGTTCATCCGGAGCTTACATCCTAGTTAATTGTGTATAATCACTAAGGCTCAGTTTGGAAAGAGTACAAATACAAATTTGTATAGTACACATACATATAAAATAATACAAAATATAAGGTTTTGCACTCTACATATTTGTATTTGTACTCCTTCCAAATGGATCCTAAAAATCCATGTTTAAAAAATGTCATGACAATGGAACTGTTTCCTTATCAGGATGGTTAGTCAGTAATTCAACTTTTTGGGTTAAATGCATCAATCCATAACATTATAAATCAAATAATAAAAATATAAAAAATAAATAAAATACAGAATAAAATAAAAATTTGGACATGCCTACAATATTATATATCCATCATATTAAACAAAAATGTGCAATAGATAAGAATTATTGTTATATATAAATGGTGGAAATATCTATAGATGCAAAAACAATAAAAAGATAAAAAGATTAGGTTATCTTTAGCTTGAAGGAAAACATAGGGAAAGGAAGGGAAAAATAGGAAAACCTATGCAAGGTCACATTGTGCAACTGGTCATCACTACCAAACACAGTCTTAATGTCTAACACATGACCTGATCACCAGGTCATATTGTGCAACTGGTTTAACCATCTCTCGACGGTGGGTCTTGGCACAACGGTTGGATTGTTCCATTACAACATAGGTGACCAGGAGCCTGATTCAACATTTTCTTTTGCAAGTGAACAGTTTGAAGCTAAATGGACCAGGAAAACTGACTGGACATATCATCTGGTCTGACCAACTGGTTCAACCATATAAGTTGAAAATATTATTAAAGGCAAAACAATAAGCAATTTAGTTCAACCAATTCACTACTATCAAACAACGAAATCATTTTATTGTACCATAGACCAAACATGCATTACAGAGATAGGGCTTTATTTTTACCTCGAGCTGCTGAGACAATTGAGCAATTAGGTCAGAGGTGAAGGCTCCAAGACTGAGTTTGATGGGGCGGTTGGGTAAGAAGTAGTTAAGTAAATAATCATTCCCACCAGTTCCAACAACGAATAAATAATCTGATATACTTGTTTCTGTGGTCTTACGACCCAACTGATCTCCTAATTGTGGCAGTGTGACTTCCTCGAAATTCTTGATTTGTTGATTAAGGTTGATCACTTGGCCCTGAAATATAATGTCACTTCAATATAATCTATGCATTATTTCATAAAATGATATATTAAATTAATTAATTAATATTTTGAATTTTGTCTGACAAAAAAAGATATTATCAGGTTGGTGGTTTAGATCACATATGATACTAATTTGTAGAAGCTGAGTTTGTTGTACTTGTAAATGCATGAGAGTAAAAATGGGCCAAGTGTAAGCTTTAGTTTACTTTCGTTCCAGATTTGTCTTTATTTTGTTTGTGAGAAGTAAAATGATGTGTCTCCTATATAAAAGGAAATAGAGATAAAAAGAGGGTTCTTTGTTTGTGAAATGTGAAGTCAGATGACAGTATAATTGCCACTATATATGAGAAAAGTTTTGAGGAAACAGGAAGGTGGTACAAATTTTGCACTACTAGTGAATGCAAATAAGATTAAATGTATAAATTTTGTACCAAATATTAGAAGTGCAAATCATATTGACAAACAAATGGATACAGAATTGAATTTGGTGCAAAATTTGTACCATGTTCAAATTTCCACTACAAACAAACATATAAACTTATAATGTTCCGGAGTAATGATATCAACTGTCAAATGTGCTCAAGGTTTGAGCCTTGATAAGTCTAGTGTTCTCAGAATCAGATTGGACGGTAAATTAAACCGGTAAACTAGAGATTTGGTGAGCATTTTGGGTCCCGATTTCTTTTTGGTTTTTATGGATTGAATGATCCGACCGAGGTTAAACCATTAAAACCGTAACCTAATGAGCTTTCCAGTTTATGGGTTGAATTATCTGACCATGGTCCAAGTGGTAAATTTATCAATGCCCATTCACCATTAAAGTAACTAAAAAAAATAAAATTGCAAAATGACAGAAATGAACATGATTAATGCATAAATGCCGTGATGCTTCAACATTCTATTCATTCAACTACTATGAGAACGAAAATATGAAAAAAAAAAGAAATAGGGTTTTAGAGACTCAATAAAGGAATGGACAAAATGGTCTCATAACATATGCAAAGAGTAGTTTTGAGATTTTAAAATGTTTCTAAGATACACATAGTTATCACATGCTCTAGATAACTGATCTAATATTAAGGCTTTGTTTGCTTTTATGGAAGTGCATTTACTCATGTTTTTTTATTTTTAGGTAAATAAGAAAATGACCATTTTAGACATAACAAACTATTAAAAGAGGTAATTTTGTTCCATTCAAGTGTTGGCAACTTCCCCCTAAGTGGAAAACTTACTTACCCATCCGGGAGATGGGCATGATACCCAGGAAAATGAATTTTCCAGGAATCTCACATAAATCTGGAAAAAGAACATAAATATCTTGATCAATGGAAACCAAAGTCCCATAAACTAACTTTCCTTCTCTCAAAATCCAAAAAAGGAACGGGTCCTAAGCTAAATTTGAATGTTGATTTTTGAAAATACATAGTACGTGAAAGTTGAGGAGAGAGAGAGAGAGAGAATTAAATGGAATAAGGTGGTAACAGTGGTTTGGACGTGAGAATTAAATGAAATATTGAAAATAAGTTGAGTGGTATTGTATTAATATTGCTTCCAATTAGATTACACTTTTCACCCATTGTTTATGGGAGAAGATTAGGGATATAAACGGATTGGATTGGATATGAATTGGGGTATATCTAAATCTAATATGATTAGAAAATCCAACAGGAGATATTAAATTGGGAATTTGAATTAGGATTGTATCATGATCCTGTCCATTTGCACCCGTAGTGAAGATGCCATTCAGAAATGACTTTTCATTTGCTCAAGCTCTTGCGTAGGAATGGCAACAGGGCCGGGCAGGATGGGAGTCACTCCCCATCCCCATCCCCGCAAAAACCCGATCCTTGTCCTCACGGGGATGGGGATGCCCACTCCCTATAATTTTTTATAATATCAATCATTTTATTTTATTTTTTAGTAAGTTTTAAAAAATAAAAATAAAATAATTAAAATTTATAATCCTATTAAAAATAATTACATATTTTTAAAAACATTAACATTTGAGCCCATAAAACACAGAATTTTCTTGTGAAACTTCTTGTGAAACCCATAGAGCATTTTCTTGTGACACAGAATTATCTTGCGAAACCCATAAAGCATTTGAGCCCATCTGAAAACAGGGGTCCAGCTCGAGAGCGGATCTAGCAGATATGTAGGAGATGTTACCAGTCGGGTTTGGGTTAAGGTAACCCCAACCTTAAACTGAACTGATCTGACTATGCAAAAATGGGATTTCGAACCCGACGAGTCCCAAATGGCACACACATACTCAAGTACTCAACCAAGAGTTATGTACAAATATTTTAATGCTTTATATTAAATAAAGAAATTTAGTGCAATGTAAAAAGCTTGGGTTTGGGGCAGCCCCATCTCATATTATTTCACATCACATATCATATATTATAAGTAAAATCTTAATATTTTAATAATATTATTATTCAAATATTTTATTCTTTGAATATAATCGTTTATCTGAAGTTCCATTGTACAAAGTATATTGATTTTTTTTTTTAATTTAAATTTCAATTTTCAAAAGTCTAATCAATACAACCTCAACAAATGCAATTAATGCCTAGTAAATGACGTTTTAATTGGTGGGTATTTAATTATTAATACCTAGTAAATGACGTTTTAGTCGTATTGTAGAAAGTTGAACTATTAAAGGGAAATCTGGGCCTTAATGTAATGTCGATTTCTTGGCCCTTTGGAAAGGCCCAGAACCAGGCCCGGCCCAACCCAAGCCTGTGAAGACCCAGGCCCGGGCTTGTATTTCAGACCCAGTGTCTGGGCTGGGCCGGGCTCGGGCCCAGTCTAAGTACCTTGACAAAGGTGTTAAGACTGGCCCATGATCAGCCCTTACCCTGCTAACCGCGGGCCAATGTGGGTTCACTAAACCTGATCAACTGCTATCCCTATGTAGGCATACTTGGTGAGCTCACTGAGTATGCACTAGCACTATCAATATAGGGAAAACCTATGATACCGAAATGACATGGTATGGGAAGAGCTTTGACCAATTAAAGCACTTTGTGAATAGAATAGGGGTGTTCAAATTCAGATGATAAATCAAAAACCAAACCAAACCAAACCAAATTGAATAAGCTAGTTTGGTTCAGTTAATTTGAGTCTCGGTTTGGTTTAGTTTTTGTTTTTGTTTATTTTTTTTTTAAATCGGTTTTTGGTTTCAGTTTGATTTGGTTGAGATTTTTAACCGAACAGAACCTAAAACTGGACTAATGGTTTAATTAATTAATAATCATTTCATATATGAAATATATTTAATCTAATTAAGTATATGAAATATATAATATTCTATTTAATACTTACTTATTAATTAATAATTGTTATCTTTTCCAATGGACAATATGGCAATTCCCCATTGGGCCCATTCTAGCTTTTAATTAATAATAGTTCATTAAATTGTTTAAAGATTCTAAACAATTAAAGTATTAAAATCTAGTCTAAGTATTAATTATTCATTAATTGTTTGTTAACAATGGGTGTAGTTATTTTAATAATTAGTCATTAAATTATTCATTAAATGAGTGTAGTTGTAATTAAAACCTAGATTAATTATTAAAACTTAGACAAAAGACTAATAATTAATATTAAAACTTAGACAAAAGACAAAAATACTATTATCTAAAAAATTTCGGGAATCTGGGGCGGGGATGGGGGTTAATTTCAGAATCGGGGTTGGGGTCAGGGATGGGGAATATGATCCCTGCCCCATTGCCATTCCTAGCACTTACTTAGGGTCATCAACATGGTTGGTTTTGTTTTTGAAAACCATCCATAGGCTGGGTAAAAACAAAACTAACCAGATTGTCGAACACTCCCTATATTGGACCTGTTCATGGGCCGGATAACTTGGTCACCCACGGGCTTGTCATGGGCTCGGGTTCATGCTTTTTGTAAATAAGGCTAGCCTGGTATTATATAAAATAAAATATATATTATTATTGGTATTATTTACTAATATTTTATTATCAGTAAAATATAATAAAAATATATAATATTTTTTTCTTGTACTTCCTATTCAAATTGGGCTTCTAGCTTTATATAAGGGCCAGGTTCAGTAGTGGATATTAGGGCTGTTCACGGGTCGGGTTGGGTCGGTTTATTGGCATTTTTCCACCAACTCGACCTGGTCGGTTTACCTAGAAATGAAACCAAAACCGGCCCAATACTAAGTAAAACCGATCTGGTCGGTTTGGGTCGATTTTGTGAATGATTCTTACGGTGTGAACGGTAAAGGATTCAAGTCTAAGAAGCAAAGAATGGATGCCTAGAAATTAAAAATGATTTGATGGATTAAAGCTGAAATTTTATATATCAGAAATTTTATATATAATATGTATATTTCCGAAATAAAGCTGAAATAAATAAATATATATATATATATATATATCAGATATATATTAAAACTGAAATATATCAGATATATATAATATATTTAAGTCGGTTTGGTTTTGATTTTCACACACGAAAACCGAAACCAAACTATCGGTTTATGTTTTTCTGTAACTCAAAACCGACCAATACTGAAGAAAAACTGGCCAACTCGGATTGGACCAGACCGGGTTGGTCGGTTTGGGTCTTGTTATGAACAGTCATAGTGGATATTTTCTGGTAAGAGGTGAAGCCCGACACAAACCTGGCCCTTCCTTGGTCTGTGAACAGGTCTACTTAATATATTCAATGAGTGTGTCTATCAGATCTTGTTTTGCATAAATCTGGTAGGCACATTTGATGATGAACACACTGAGTAAACGCAAATTAGTATGTATCACCTGACCTGCAAATAGACCTGTTCATGGATTGGTCTTCGGGCTTGGGCTTCAGGTTGGACCCATTCAAAAGCTAAGCCCAAATCAATCCATGAACAAGTCTACCTGCATCACATGGGTGGGTTGAGAGACACTTTGTAGAATAGATAGTGCACAATTGATTTTGTGCTCACTCAGTATACTCACTGAATGTGCCGTACTAAACTCGAATCACAAACATACCACCGAACCAATCAAAAGGCAACTCACCTTGTGCTTCGAATTTTAAATAAACTGGAATTTGTGTTTAAGTTTTATTGGAGGGTTAGAAAAATAGTTGCATCAGTCAATGAACCAGTTTTGGGTTAAACCCCATCTAAATCAAAATCAATTTGGACGGATTGAATGAACCAATAAGACATATTGAATTGGACCAGTCTAGACTTAATGGTCCAAAGCATTGGACTTAGTCCATATCCAATCCATTGAACCAATATCCAATCTATTGGAAGAAAATAAAATACAAGTGTCAATGGACCAGGTGTGGATTGGAAGAAATCTAAATTAAAACCAATTTGAATAGATCAAACAGTGCAAACATTGAATTGGACTAATTCAAAATGGTCTAAAGTATTCATCGGATTAGATTGAACCTGATCCATTTTATAATGGATTCGTATTGAAACAGATCGGATTGGATGAAATTCGGTCTAATTAACACCCCTTACAGAAACTATCTCTGTATCTCATAGCTCACATGATACCTGCTAGTATAAATTTAATATAGATGGGAGATAACAGGCTGCACCCCTTATGTGTCACAAGGTTTTAATGCTTCTTTTAAAAGTTTATTCTATGAAACGTAAAACTTTTGTGTTATCTATTATTTCACTATATGAGGTGTGCCCTGTTTTTCAAAACAAATTATTCTCAAATCAATACACATTTGCTCTTTTTAGTGTAGCCCATCTTAGCGGGGTTCTTCATGCTGCCACACCTCCAGCACAAAAACGTTCTTATGGTAGGGCAACAAGCCAAAATTCAGCCCTTTTCAGAACGATATAGGTTGGGGTGATTATCGTCCCGGCCTGATCTGGGCTTTGCACATGTTATATGGGTTGTAGTTTTGGTTCGGGCCTACATAGGCCCATTACTTTTATGTATAAAAACATGTAGTGGGAATTTTAAGTGAGACCCACCTGTTATTTTTTCTCTAAAATTATTTAAGTTGAAAGATCAAATTATTATTTTTTGTTTTATTTATAATTAATTATTAAATAAAAATAATTATTTTTGTTTTTATTCTTAGTCACATGTAAGCATATAGGATCCATGTGTAATTTTTCAAATATTTTTTGACTTGAACAGTGCTACATCAACGGGTTTTTGTTATTTCATTATTTGTCTAATGGAACTGTCAGCGACATCTTTAAGCTCGTTTGTTTTTTCTTTGAAATGGGGGTGAAGATGAATTTTTGAAACTTTAGAGTCCAAAGTGGTCTTGTTACAAACAAGGGTATTAGAGCCAAATATCCAATATTATAATATTTATACACAGAATATAAATATAACATAAAATAAGATATCTATATATCTATATCTATATCTATATCTATCTATCTATCTATCTATCTATATATATGTATGTATGTATATATGTATAAGGCCAGGCTGGACTGAAAATGACCACCTCTAGGTTTAGGTCAAAGCTTGTTAAGTGTTTTGGGGGAGGACTAACCCTGTTGTGTAGTCAATTACCCAAAACAAAATAAAAAAAAAAAAGAAAACAGAAATCTACCCTTTTTTTCATGGATGTGTTAAATCTAATCCAACTGTGTACACCCCAAACCCCTAGTAGATGTTTCAAAGTTATGAGATCCAATGTCTTCTAACCATGGTTTTGGGCCAAGTTAGCCTGAACCATACCCGAAAAAGTCTGGATTGGATTGAATTGAGGATTGGGTTGGAGTTGAAAATATATATGAACCTATTTAATTTCAAATTAGGATAGGGGTGAACTTGGCATGTCCTTCATATTTGTGTATCTAAATATTATATATATAGTCTTATATAGGTATATTTGTCAGTAATTTTAAGTTTATAGGCAGAGATTTCTTGGTATAGCATAAATATGGTATTCTTAAGGCATCACATACATCTTTTTTACTATGTGTAGTTAACTTTAATTGGTCAATTCCATTTTTAAAAAGGTTATAAAAATAAAAAAAAAAATGAAGAAATTGGATTAATCTGACCCAACGTAAAATTGGACAATTCCAATTTTGAGGAGGATATTTTTATAAAAAAAATAAAGAGAAAAAAAAAACTAAAGCTATTTGGTTGGGGGTTGACCTAAGCCCGACCTAATGGACCCACCTGACAATAGATAACAGGGTTAAATGAAGATTTGAGATTGATAGGTCAGGTGGCATGTACAATGAATATTTTTCTGAATAAATGATTTTCAACGAGAAAGTAAATTAATTTCTATTTTTTTTTAAAGATAAAACTGAAATTGTTGAAAGATATTTGGTATCAGAAAATTTGAGTTAGAGGACTCAGTCTATGCTTAGAAAAGGGTAAATAAAAATTTCTGTTTTTCTATAAATATAATAAAATCTATGAAATAGTTAGCATTTTATTAAAACACTCCTATAATTTACAACCAATTTATTTAATCAATCTTCCATTAAGAAACATTTATATTGCAATCTGAAAATGGTCGCACTTTGTGAAAGAAACAATATCAACAAGGTTTTAAAATCCGGTTAAGAGACCATTGGTTGTCCAATTTCTGGGTAAGCAGTTCGACTGTCTAGTCCAAACAGATCAGCCCGAGAGCGTATTTAAAAATTAAAAAGAATTGCAAAAACAAAAACCGAAATTCATTCATCAGGTTGAATGGTTTAGCAGTTCAATCATTTGGATAACCAATTCATTGACCGAGTCAACAGTTTTGATAAAAGACATTTCAGAGGTGAACCAGACCTGATTGCCTTCCGGGCTAAAAGGTCCAATCGTTTGGGTCAAGGATGGTTTTAAAACATTGGATTTCAGATCTACCAAACAATATTTGGTTTCAGCAGAATAGTGATAAAGAAGAGAGAACAATGGCAGCCATCTTTCTAACTGCAACATCATATCTTCCTTTTCGAAATGGGGAACAAAATTGAAGATCAGATCAGCGCCCCACAGCACCTCCCACCCGTGCATTGGGAACATCTCTCCAGTGATAAGTATGGGAGATGTTCCCATTTCACGGTGAGATGTGGATGTGGGGCGCCAATGTGATCTCACCAAATTGCTGAACAGAGTGGTTAGGGGTAAGAATGACAATTGCTTTACTCCTTTCTCCACTTCTATCATTAAATGCAGCCACACTGCCAGTACCCCCGAACCCTAGTTAACGAGGGGTTCGGTCCCAAAGTGATTGACCAATGAAAATCCCGTGAATTTTGATAAAAACCCACCTCGTTGTCGTTGGTTACCACTTTTATGGTTGGCTATAAGTTTTTCCGGTATCACGTCTTTCCGGCATCGTAGTCGTCGAACCCTGTGGAAAGAAGATGATCACAAGGAATAGACCGAGTCTGCTGATATGAAACCCAATCAGAAGTAAACGGCAGTTTCTGTTCATCAGATAACAGTGTTTATTTCTGATTGAGTTTTATATCCCATTCTCTCTGTCTCTGTCTCTGTGTATGCGTGTCCAAGTGATATATAAATAAAGAAGACATTCTTACCGAAATAGAACCAGTGTCGTCTAGTATTCCTGAACCACCAGATGCAAAGTTGACACCATGAACAATCTTGTCGCCGGTAGTCATGGGATCAGCGAAAGGTGGAATCAAAGAAGGAAGCTGAAGAAGCTCGCCAATAAGGTCGATCACATTCTTTCCATTGGTGAACCTCCCTGAAGGTCCAAGAGGGAAATCCACTCCATATGGCAAGTAATCAGCCTTTGCAGTTGAATTGATGTGGTTGTTGTTGCCATTGTCGACCAGAGAGCTCCCAAATACAAACAACCCATTGATCTTAGCTTGGCCTTCCTCAAATCCTTCTCTACAACCGCACAAAAGCTGAGTAGGAAGAAGGGACAAAGAGAAGAAGAAGAAGAGAACTGGGACTGCTTTCTCAACGGCCATTGTGTTTCAGTATTTCGGATATACGGCAGAACCTCACTCGTAGTCATCGACACAGTTTTATAGTGCAGAGCAGCAGATTGCAGAGGTCCTGTAGACCCCACGCAAGTGAGGTTTAAATAATCGTCTACGGTTCATACGTGTAATTTGTACGTGGGCCAATCAGAGCACACCACGTCAGTTCCATACAGGTGTGGGGCCCACTTAGCCGGGAAGGAGGGACTTGTATTATTTTGTAAACTGAACTCTGCAAAATTTATTAATGCCCATAACTACCGGGAAACTCTGCTCTGTTACTGACACGGTAAAATTGTCTGTTGCGATGGCCACTCGTTATCAGTTATCACTCTTGAAGCCGAGATGTGCCCCACCAAACTGCAGGTTATCCGTTGGTATGGCCAATGGGTCTCATCTCACCCCTGCTCTCTTCCTTCTTACAGGCTGCTATGTCTCCACTTATAACCTGTATTGACCTAACTCTCATAAAAGGAGAGAGGTCATATGGCTAGCTTCTTTCCTGATAAACCTGATGTCTTGTCAAGATACACTCTCTCCACCATGTACAGCGCTCCAGGCTTCAAACCCTGGATTTCTCTAATCTAACCTTTCTACATGTGTTAACCTTATTTTGTGTGTATTAATTTGTATTGTATATATTTGTATTCATCCTAGCTCTTTCCAAGCATTTGCATGTAGTGCAAACGAATTTGCACTGGTGGAAATGTATGAGAATGGGCTGAGCTTAAATTCTTCTGTATGAGATTGGATTTTTTTTTCCTTGCTTCAACCCTGATGGTAATGGAATTTGAACCCTAATCACCCAGGACACAATGGAACAACCCAACTCTTGTGCCAAGGCCCACCCTCAGCCACTTTATTTGAATACTGGAAGCAATTAAAATGCTATGATCCCTACAGATGTGAAAGAGAATGAGGTAAGAAGCAACATGATGTATTCTCAATGAGAGAAACTGAAGGTAGGAAGATGATGGTGCAAACTTTGCACTACCAGTGAATGTAAATGAGACAGATTTTCCATCAGACAGGAATGCAAATCATAATGCCATGATCCCTACAGATGTGAAAGTGAATGCAAATCATAATTATAAACAAATGGATGCAAAACGAAACCAGATGCAAAACTTTATCCGATTCAGATTTCCGCTACGAACAAACAGAGAGACACAAGTCACGTAGTTCTGAGGCCCAAGTTGCAGCCAGTTTTGTCCTTCATCACAAGTACATTTATACTCAAGCCAGACATATTAAGTTGCTTCTGCTGTTAAAACTTAAAACTTTCATTAATGTCTTTGTCAGGTTCCCTGAAGTTTAACGTGTTATTCATGCCTCAGTCCATGAAGGTTCCCACTTCCAATTCAGTAGCCCGAGTTGCTGCCTTTAAAAAGCATTCCAAGCATATTTCCCATCTATCGTATTATATCCGTCGGTTTCGATAATGACTTAAATGACCTGTAACTAATAGGCAAGGGAAACCATACCTACTTATTTTGTCTCGGACTCTCCACTATTCAGAGGGCAATTCTGGAGAATTCAGACTGCACGTTTTCTTTTACTATTTTCATTTAAGAGAATAAATTAGATTTCATTTGTAATTAAATAACCCACTTTATCTTAACATTCCCTTTGGAAAGAGTGAGTGCATTTTCGTCCATGCAAATGCAAAGTTGGATTAATTTTACATTCATATTTTTTTAACATTAATCAACTTTGAGTATAAAGATTATATAATTTTTCTTTTTTTTTTTAATGAAAACTTGGCTCTCATTTTGGATGCAAATATGTCTTGAAATTTGTGAAAACCATCACTTTTGGTACATAAAATCCAAAATAAAAATAAACAAGAATTTGTATTTTTTATATTTGTACTCCCATGCATTTGTATTAGTACAAATAAATTTGCACTTTAACCAAACATAGACCTATAACAATGTAATCTTAAAGGGTTCAAATATCCATACATAAACCATTCAAATTAAAGAGGCGATCCCTAGAGTTTGATTATTTATTTGTTTATTTTAGTTTCAAGAATTGAGCAATGAGCCCATGACATCTGTGCCAAGTGCCAAGGTTATTTAAAAGTGATGACCATACTTTGAACTTTTATGTCTTCAAAATATTTGTGCTGGTTTTTATTTAAGTCGAATAACTAATTAAATTAGATTTTATTGCTATTGTGAAATGAAACTTGGCTATGTTTGGAAACGATGCAAATATGTAGAGTGTAAAACGGTCCATATAAATTGCAAAGTTGGGTTAGTTTTGCATTAACAGATTTACCTTCTTACCAAACAGACTTTTAACTATAATGGATACAAACATGAATTCCAATAAAGCATATGCATTTTTTTTTTATCAAATGCCCATTTTAATGCAAATTTAGTCTTTTTTATTGATGTACTTTTGCATCTTATTATCAATGTAAATATGCATCGGAAAATGTGTTTTCTGTCATTTGTCAATGCATAAATGTAATGTTGCCAAACACAGGCAAAAGTGAATTAGAGTGCGAATTTACCCTGAACTAGGATTTACACTCCATTTGCATCGCTTCCAAACGCATCCTCAAGTGTTGTGCATATTTAGAGTGGGATCCATAAGCTAGATTTCTAATTTCAACTTGATTACATGCCCAAAAGTGGAGTTCTAGGAAGGATGTGCAAGGCTTTCTTTCAAAGGAGTAAAAATATTTCAACAAATTAAGAAAATTATTACAAATAAATTCTTGAGTAAAAATTACTGATGCCAGTACTTCTAAATTTTCACTTAGGCTGTGTTTGGTTGCAATGCAAATAAATTTGCACTGATGAAAAACCATGGCAGTGCAAATGATTTGAGTGTAAAATCTAACCTATTTTTGTTTCAAATTTTAGCTTATTTTGTTTGATTGCTATACAAATGAAATAAATTAAGACATGAAGCAGAATAAATTAAATCCAAAACAAAATTTAATGAGAACTTGCATTTTTTACATTTGCACCCCCATGCATTTGTATTGGTACAAATAAAATTGCACTGTAACCAAACACAACCTTACAATAAAGGATGTAAAATAAAATCTTTACAAAGATTTTCTTTCCAACAGAAACTTAGTGCCCTTTATGTCCTTTCCATATTCAACTTTTTTGAAATATTCTTAAAATGGGTTTTCAGACATCCAATATAGGAATGACAAGGGCGGATCGAGGCTGGGTTTTGCATGCTTCACCCCTGACCTTGAACTCAAATACTCTGCCCCATCTCCACCCCAGACCCCACTAGGGCTAGATATCCCAACCCCATCCTTGTCCCAACGAGGAATGGGATCCCTGAATTTTCCCTGCCCCATCCCAGTCATTCCGATTTGCAAATTTATTTATTTATTTTTATTTTTTGATACCTAATTAGAACTATATTATATCATGTAATGTAATAAATGTTAATATAATACTATATTATATGAATATAATATATAATAATATAACATAATGCAATATATATATATATATATATATATATTGTCATCTCTTCTCGAATAGCATTATATTGATTGCCATTATTGTTTAGAAAAACTTCAGAAAAATTATTACTGAATTTGCTTGCAATGCAAATATGCACTGATTTAAATGCAATAGAGTGCAAATAGGCTGTGTAAATTATAGTTTACTTTTGCTCTATATTTGACCATCTTATTTGTATGTGAAGTAAAAAAGAAGTGAAATAATGTCTGTCCTCACATCATATGAAAGAGAAAGGAGATAGGAAGGTTATTTGTTTGGGAATTAAGTAAGAAGGAAGGATGATGCAGTCCCCACTTTACATGAGAGATAATTGATATAGGTGTAAATTTTACAACAGTTTTTGGAAAGTAAAATTGGCATTGCCAATGAGACAAAAAGTTTAAATTTCGTATGGTAGGTTGAGTAAGCCAATAGAGAAAAATAAAAAATAAAAAAAATAAAACAAGGGCATTATTGGAATCTAAAGGTTTAATCGTTGCAAAATGAGGGGTAATAATAATAATAATAATAATAATAATAATAATAATATACTTATTAAATTTCTAAAATTTCAAACTGAAAAATGTAAAATAATAAGATCGATCTAGTCAATTAAATGCTCGATACTCAAGTTTTGGAGTGTATCAATAATTTGAACCTTTTTGAATCATATTAACCAATTCCAAACCAACTGAACTAAGGTCTATTTTGTACTTAGTCAAAATTGGAATCAGAATGGTGTATTTCCATAGTCTATTTGATGTATACATAAATCAGAATGAAAATAGGAATTTCATTCTCAAGGGAGGAAGAAGAAATGACTACTCCCAGGAAAATATCATTCCACCAGAAATAGAAATGAGATTTCAATTCTACAATCAAATATTTCGATTCAAACCCTTATTCCGAAAAACCAAACGGACCCTAATAGTAATTCCGAGGTGATAGAGACAGGCAATTAGGTAGAGTATCTGGTTTATTAAATGCAATTCTGAGTCAACGTAAGAAAAACAAAGACAATTGAATAAGTGAGGGCTTTCGTTTTCCCAGTTTTGATAGAGTCGGACTTCAGTGTCGGAGATTGTAATGCATGCATTAACGTGTCAATTTCTTTCTTATGGCCAAATGGGTAGCAAAATGACTGGTGTAGACTTGGACACATGCATATCGTCAATTCATGAAGCAGAATGCATTTAAGAAGCAGATAAAAGAGAGATTGTGTACAACACGTTATCTTTAAATTTGTGAAAGAAGGAAAGATGTCTAAGCAAAAGCAACGGGATCTATTAATGAGCTGGTATTTCTTTTCATGGACCATGGTCGGAAAAGTTGGTTTGCAATTAAGGTTATTATTAAGCACTCTAGTTTGTTTGACTTGGATATAGGCGGACGCAATTTACTTGGAAAAACTTTTTTACTAAGGTTATGCTTGGTTTGAAGGAAAAGGTTTGAAAACCTATACAAGGTTTGTAAAGATTTTCTCTTTTCTTTTCTTTTCTTATTTATTTCTTTAAATCAAAC